GTGACATCTCCTCAATCCTGATAGCGCTGTACTTTGTGTGTTTACCTAAAGCACAAAACCATTACCAGAAAACCCAGCTATTTCCACAAATATAAGCCAGGTGTTGATGATGATCTGGTCTGCTAGGCTTTTCGGGAGCTGTCGGGGATGTTGAGCGTGTGGTTCAGGATCAGTTGCATCTTTTGCTGGGAGAAGCTATTTAAGCTGTCAGAAAAATTATAATGCAAGAACATTGAACAATTAAATGATGTGAAAAGCGATAATTGTGTGTTTGGGTGGTCTATCTCAGTTCAGTAATAACCTAAGGTAGTTGAAAATGATATTAGGGAAGTCTGAAATAAAGAACTGCTTCCAATGCAAAACAGCTACATGGCCATTAAATCTTATTTCGACTGTACAATTGCAATTTAAAACTTTTCAAAATCTAAAACAACATGACAATTGTTAGTGAAATTTACTCGATACGGTGAAATTAAGAACTGGTACAAGTGACTTAGAACAGTAATTGAGACTGGTAAAATTTGGATATTCCATTAAAAAGGTAACTATAGCCCAACATTAGTCCTTATGTTGTCAACAGAACACATAATGTCGGTAATTTCTGATGGTAATAGTTCCTATCATAACCCAAAAACTTATGCAAAACAGATGCAAAGTTTGAAAATCCACTAACACATTTGGCATCACATTCAAGTAATTCACAGTTACACGCTCTTCATCTCCTTCAAAAGAAAAATCAATTAGTTCGCTTCAGCAACAAGGCGTACAAGTTATTAAGACGTATTTAGATGTCAATTGTCAATGTTTAAGTAATTAAAATGACCGTATAAGTTTCTGATATAAGAATGGTTAACAAGTAATATGCACAATGACATAATACGCCAGTCTACAATACGCCATCAACACTTTTCAAGCCTATTCTTTAATTTACATTTGATAATGATTTTGCTTTTGTGGCAAAAAATGTAAATTTTTGAAATTGTGATGCATACCTACTATTAGTTTTGATGAATGCATTACCATGCTAAGACCACAGAATTATGAGTAAAGGAGGCTAGAATCTACGTAGAAAATGGACAACTAGGCTTGGTGAACTATGGAGTTTAACGGCTAGAAATCTACGTAAAAATGGACAACTAGACTTGTTGAACTTATGAGTTAACGCTAGAATCTACGTAAAAAGGACAACTAGACACTGGTGACTACAAAACAGTATTTAAATCTCTTTAAAGTTCTCTTACCAACTGAGTCTTCTAGAAAATATAATCTTTATCTCCAACTTTGGTACCGTCTGGCGTTTCATTCCTGCCCAAAGAAATATCGTTTGTTCGTAATTTAATGAGAAAAGACTATAGCTAAAGACCAGCTTGTAAAGCCGCACACGAACAACGTACGTACAGCTCAGATCAACATTTAACACATAACTAAACATGATTGTTAGAAACTGCGAAGTAAAGAACAAAGTATATCATACGTATCCTTTTGATAGATGCGATAAAGTCTCTTTATTAATACCAAGTAGCTTATTGTATGACTTTACCTTTATTGTAATGAATTCATCTTTACTGATTTGTTGAAACCAAAGAATTTATTCCCAAAACTCCATAGGGAATTAAACAAACAAAATGATTACGTTATAGCAATATAAAATTATATCTTCCTTTTAAAGCCATGTATAGTACATGCCGACATTTTAGACACATCAAACTTTAATATTTTATTGTATTGCTAATATTTCTACTACACGTTTTTTTAGATGACCAAAATTAAAATAGACATCACAACTATAACAGTAGTTACAAGATATACGCATTAAATAATTGAAAATTTTACAGTTAAATGTTTAATACAAAAAAAGAACAATTATTACAAAATGTACTTTTTTTCAAACAATGTTCATAAAAGAAACGATATAAACATAAAATAAAAAGAATGTGCCAGTATAATATTGGACTAAAATTGGTTAATGGCAACCCAAACTTACGATCTAATGGTGAGTAACGTTATTAGCATATATATAATGAATACTAAGCTTACATATCGAAATAATATGATATACACAGATGGGTCAACTTCTCAAGAGTCAACCTCTCTTTGTCTCTAAACGTAGACTACTATTATCTATCAGTTGTTGTGAACGAAGTCCCCGTTAGCTAGAATCTAGAAGATGTTCGTTGGTTGATCAGCTTGTGAAGGCTTGGTCTGGAAGAAATTAAGTTATTACTTGAATAAATAAGTTTCTAATTGTTAAGGTAATTACTTTTAAATAAAGATTAATTCTGAATCAATGCAGTTTCAAGGCGGGGGTTTGTCAAGTAATTAATGTTCATAATTGCAATAATTTACAAAAATTGAAAATTATTTCTAGTACCAATGTGTTGACATTTAACAACTACCTTATTATTTTTCGAAGAAAAGTTTATGTTTATTAAGTAATTTAAATAATTACCAAGAGATATGTGTAAATATATGTGTTACTTTAATATAGTTGAAAATTGAAATGCAGTATTTTCACGACTTAAATTTACAAATATTGTGACTTTACAAATTTATGTAAGCGACTAGCAGACTTTTTTGAAATTCTTTTGTACATAAACACATTTTTTTGGCAAACAAACTTATTGCGTTTCAATCGAATAAATTGTCGGCAAAATTCAGCTTTGATGTTCTCATGACAACAATAATTACAAATAGAGTGTAACCAAAGTTTTACCGCAGTAATTAATCCTGAACTCATGTGTCTGCGAATGACTTACCTCCCCTAGTTGCAATATGTACGATTGAGAAATTCCCAACAATGAGATCACTACCCCGTACTCAAGACTTAATAAACGTAGCTAAGGTTTCAACACTTACGCTACGTTTTCAACAGGAATACTCAGCATACCGTATATATATAGTTGGAGGGTTTCAGACTGAAAACTAATGTTAATAACAAGCTGTCAGCTCGTCTGGACTCTGATCGCACGGAAGTTTTCTCAGTTCCAGAATTTCCTTTTACTCGAACGTTAGGCTTTTTATAAAGCTTCCAACTCAATGTTCACGTACATTCTACTCAATATTCACCTACAATCTCAGTTTCATTTTATTCGAAAGTTAGAATTTTAGAGCCTCCAACTCAATATTCACGTATATTCACGTACATGCAATAACAACAATGCAATGTTTTTGATTGGTCGAAATAATCATTGTTCCTACCGGATTGTTTTACCGAGGCTTCCAGTTTGTCATTAGTACACACTGTGTACTAACTTTAGGACTACAGCTGTGTACCTATTGGGTACCGTCTTGTCAAGCCAATGACGGTAGAAGAGATCGTCAAAGGCTTGTAAATATCCTAAAATATTAATGTAGGGTGGGCCCAATACAGTGCAGGGGCTTCTTGACCTCACTAATTGTGATCAATCAAACAATACCATTTCATTGTATTCATTGTTGTTCATCCAGACGGTTTCTGTTGTTTTTATGGTCATGTAAATTTATAAACATAAAAAGTAAGAAAACTGAAGCCTTTTTCAAGATGTAACAGTTTTTACGGCCTCCTGCTTCCCATTGGTCATCAGTCGGGTGTATTCTGAAGAAAGGATAATATATTAAATTTGTCACGATTCTACCCTCATTCCCATATCAGGTTCCTAGTTTCATGATGTCGTATTGATCGTTATGCTTCGCCTTAAACTCGAACATTGATCAATTATCAATTTCCGGTAGAATATTAGAACATTTTGTTCATGTAGTGAGTTTGTTCGTGGTGTTGTTTGTTTTTTTGTTATACCGTATTTTATTGTTTCTGCAGATTGAATTGTTTGTCAATTGTTAGCTTGAGCTCATCAGTTAGGTTGATTAATAATCATGTGGTTTTTTGTTCATTTTATCAGTGTGTCCCGCATGATCATGGAATCGGAAACCTTTTTCAATTCGAGATCGTTCAAATACTGCGTCACTAATTCTTGTCAGTTTTATACCCCCTAAAGCAGAGGTAAACAACAATTTATATTTATAATTTGTACGAATTCTATTTCTCCAGTTCTCCCCTCCTATCAACACTGCCTAGGCTGCACTAGAATTATAATTATTAAGTAATTAAGTTTTTATCCTTTCATTTTGATTTTGAACCAAGTACCTTTTGGCCAGAATACAAAATGAAAAGTCTTAATGGCGTCAACAACGCCTTAAAGTTAAATCGCCAAATATTTGGTATTGTCATAGGTTTCAGTTTTCGGTCATGACAGACCTATCGAAATTTCGAATACTTTGTCGACCAGTACTGCTATGTGAACGATTCACGGTTTCATTACATTCGGCCGTTGAAAGCCATAAAAACTGTCAACTAGCCATCCACATCAGCAGTCAGCATTGCAAATAAGTTTATAGTATTTATCTGCGAGACAGTTGACACTTCATTAGTCATTCCATGGCTCATTTCTAAATTTCAACAGTTGACTTATAATTGAGTTATTTACAGTTTGTTGTATCTGGTCAGTCTACAATAAATCTCCAGGCTGTGTGTGCTTATGTTGTTGATGTTTGATTTATCTTGTCAATCTCAATTTTGAGAGACTACATTTTTTGATATTTCTCATGGATCAGATTTAATTTGTGTTGAACTTGAATAAACTTTAAAATTTGATTTTAAAATGTTCGATTACGTTTCTGCTTGCGATGTGGTATATAAATATAATACTAATTTTAACAATAATAATTAATTTCAGACTTCAAGTTCAATATGTCTGATGGACCAAAGTAAGTAACATTTAATGTCAACTTAATGTGAAATTCTCGTTCTACACTAATTAATTAATAAAAATAACTTTCCCCAGCTAGTATAAGAAGCTCAATCGAAAAAGGTTTCAATCAGAACTTTTTACCGTGATCGCCATTTATAGAACCAGAAATCGCCTTGTTAATATGGCATGATAATCCGAGAGATAAGGAGTTTTTCCAATTTTATCCTAGATTTTTGTGAGTGAAAACACGATTTGTTTGTTAATCTTCAAATTAACTGGGTGATCTTAAGACTGAGAGACTCTCAATAAATAAAAAATAAATCAATAAATGAAACGGAGTGACTCTCAGTGAGAGTCACTGACCGTTTGATTTATTGATTTATCTTTTCAAGTTCAATATGTCTGACGGACCAAAGTAAGTAACATTTAATGTCAACTTAATGTGAAATTCTCGTTTTACACTAATTAATTAATAAAAAATAACTTCCCCCAGCTAATATTAGAAGCTCAACCTAAAGAGGTTTCAATCAGAACTTTTTACCGTGATCGCCATATTATATAGAACCAGAAATCGCCATATTAATATGGCATAATATGCAGAGAGGAAAAGACTGATGAACCTAGACCGAGAGATAAGGAGTTTTTACAATTTTATCCTATATTTTTGGGAGTGAAAACACGATTTGTTTGTAAATCTTTAAATTAACTGGGTGATCTTAAGACTGAGAGACTCTCAATAAATAAAAAATAAATCAATAAATCAAACGGAGTGACTCTCAGTGAGAGTCACTGACCGTTTGATTTATTGATTTATCTTTTCAAGTTCAATTATATGTCTGACGGTCCTCTCAATAAATAAAAAATAAATGAATAAATCAAACGGAGTGACTCTCAGTGAGAGTCACTGACCGTTTGATTTATTGATTTATCTTTTCAAGTTCAATCATATGTCTGACGGTCCTCTCAATAAATAAAAAATAAATGAATAAATCAAACGGAGTGACTCTCAGTGAGAGTCACTGACCGTTTGATTTATTGATTTATCTTTTATGATCTGACACAATCATTGCACTTTCCGACCTCTAATTCTTTGATTATAATTCTCTAATTAATATAATCAACACCACTATCTCATTTTTCATATGAACTTCCCCAGGATTTGCGGAGGATGTAACCAGAACATTCCAAGCCGATGGGTAACCGGGTTAAACAAGTTTTGGCATCACGATTGTTTCCGTTGCACCTCTTGTAACAGGGTCGTAGCACCAACTGAGAGTTTCTACGATAACGGAGGTGAGTCACACTCCTTATCACATGTAGTTACTAGTTAACTAGTTAGGGAGGGAATAAGATAAGCTGTGAATAAATTCGTAACAAAGGCTTCTCTTCAGTAATGTGTTGTCCATATAGTCCCAACTCCCAGAAACCATTCTAGGAGTTAATATTTATAATAGTCTGACAACCTTTTCTGTTAGTTCCTCGGATTACAGCACATTTCTGAAGAGAAACCCTTGTTACGAATCCATTCACAGATGGTGTTATAAATTACGAATTTGTAAACAACACTTTATCAACACGTGTTTAAAAAAACTTTCTTTCCTCCAAGAAGACAGCCTCACCAGAGACCGATCTAACTTATGCAGAATATACTTTAACTTTTGAATTATTTTTTGTGTTAGAGATAGAGTTTTACCTTTCAACACGCCCATGCAACTCCTCGTAAAATGAAAGCCTTGCAAGTGTAACTACAGTTAGCGACTAATACGGATTTGTACTAATTATTATAATTTACATTATTGTACCCGCCTCTACTTTAAATTTATATAAATATGTAGCTCCAACCTTTGGGGGACCAATATACCATTTTTACTGATCCCAATCGCTAACATAAGCTTTGCAAGTCTTAGCCGTGGCACTGTACGATACTTTATAATTATACTCTACAATTATACTAAAATCCTTTTGTCCCTGTACGATACTTTATAATTATTATACTCTACAATTATAGTAATTATACTAAAATCCTTTTTCTACTTAACATATTACTGTTTACTTTCTGCCAGGCAAGCCCGAGTGTTTCAACTGCAAGGGAGCCCCTCAGGTACACACTTGCGGTATCTGCAACGGGACTATCAGTGGACAACGACTCATCTACCTTGCTAACACTTACCATTACGGCTGCAAGAGATGCACTAAGTGCAGTAAGTTTTTAATTTGAATTGTTAGTTAGTTATTACTAACTAGTGTAGTTAGTTAGCATAGTTAGTTAGTATAAGGCGTATTCATGTAGCAAGTTGTTAAATGTCAACAAATTGGTATAGAAAAATGTTCAATTTTTGTAAATTATTGCAAATATGCAACAGTTTTACTTGACCAAATCCCGCCGTGAAACTGCATCGAATTCAGAATTAATCTTTATTTAAAGTCTAGTAATGACCTCAACAAAGTAACTTCTTTATTCAAAGTAATAACTTAATTTTTTCCAGACCAAGCCTTCACAGCTGATCAACACGCCAACATCAAGATTCTAGCAAACGGGGACTTCGTTCACACCAACTGTTAAATAAAAGTAGTCTACAATTAATAGACAAAGAGAGGTTAACTCTTGAGAATTTTAACGCATCTGTGTATATAATATTATTCCGATAATGTAAGCTTAGTATTCAAATATATATATGAGTATAAACGTTACTCACCATTTAGAACGTATGTTTTGGGTTCGCATTAACAATTTACGTCCAATATTATACTGGCACATTCATTTTATTTTATGTTTATATCGTATTTTATGACAACTTATGAAAAAGTACATTTCTTTATTATTGTACTTTTTTTTGTAATAACACATTAATTGTAAAATTTTCAATTATTTAATGCGTATATCTTGTACATACTGGTTCTAGTTTTGAAGTCTATTATAATTGTGGTCATCTAAAAAAACTTGTAGTAGAAATATTAGCAATACAATAAATTAAAGTGTGATGTGGCCTAAAATGTCCGGTCATGTCCAATAACATGGCTTAAAAGGAAGATAATAATATTTATATTGCTATAACGTAAACATTTTTGTTGTTTACTATTTCCCTCATGGAGTTGGGAAAAATTCTTTGTTTCAACACATCAGTAAAGATGAATTCATTACAATAAAGGTAAAGTCATACTTAAGCTACTTGGTAGTAATAAAGAGCTTTATCGCATCTATCCAAAAGGATACGTACCTGAAATACTATTTCCTTTACTTCGAGTTTTCTAACAATCATGTTTAGTTAATGTTTAAAAGTTGATCTGAGCACTGTACGTACGTGTCGTGTGCGGCTTTACAAGCTGTCTTGTAGCTATCGTCTTTTCTAATTAAATTACGAAAACGCATATTTCTTTGGGCTGGACTGAAACAGCAGACGGTACCAAAGTTGGAGATAAAGATTATATTTCTAGAAGACTCAGTAGGCAAGAGAATTTAAAGAGATTTAAATCTGTTTTGTCTGTCACCAGGTCTAGTAGTCCATTTTTACGTAGATTCTAGCCGTTAACTCATAGTTCACCAAGTCTAGTTGTCCATTTTTTACGTAGATTCTAGCCGTTAACTCATAGTTCACCAAGTCTAGTAGTCCATTTTTTACGTAGATTCTAGCCTTTAACTCATAATTCAGTGGTCTCTAGCCCTTGAAATGATTAATCAAAACTAAAAGGTATGCATCACCAATTTCAAAAATTTACATTTTTGCCACAAAAGCAAAATTCATTATCAAATGTCAAATTAACAGAATATAGGCTTGCCAAGTGATGCATGGCGTATTGTAGACTGGCGTATTATACTGTATTGTGCAAATTACTTGTTACACAATTCTTATATCAGAACTATAATACGGTCATTTTAATTATTAACAATGACAATTGACATCTAAATACGTATTAATAACTTGTACGCCTTTTTGCTTGAAGCGAACTAATTGATTTTTCTTTTGAAGGAGATGAAGAGCGTGTAACTGTGAATTACTTGAATGTGATGTCAAATGTTTTAGTGGGATTTCACCCTTTGCTCGTTTTGCATAAGTTTTTGGGTTATGATAGGAACTATTCCCATCCAGAAATTACACATTATGTGTTCTGTTGGCCCAACATAAGACATAATGTTGGGCTAAATAGTTACCTTTTTAATGGAATATCCAAAATTTACAGTCTCAATTTCCTGTTCATAAGTCAACTTGTACCAGTTCTTATTCACCGTATCGAGTAAACTATACTAACAATTGTTCCATATTGTTTTAGATTTGAAAGTTAAAATTGCAATTGTAAGTCGAATAAGATTTAATGGCCCTGAGCTGTTTTGCATTGGAAAGGAGATCTCTTATTTCAGACTCCCTAATATCATTTTCAAACTTCCTTTAGGTTATTCCTGCACCTGCAGATAGACCACCCAAACACACAACTTATCGCTTTCACATCAATTTCATTGTTCAATGTTCTTGCATTTATAACTATTTGACAGCTTCACTGTCTCTCCCAGCAAAAGATGCAACTGATCCTGAACCACACGCTCAACATCCCCGACAGCTCCCGAAACCTAGCAGACCAGATCATCATCAACACCTGGCTTATATTCTGTGGAATAGCTGGGATATCTGGTAATGGTTATGTGCTTTATGTAACACACAAGTACAACGCTATCAGGATTGATGAGATGTCACTGTGGTTTATCAATAAGTTGGGAATCACGGATATACTCTCCACAGTGGTGATGGTGGTGCCGGTTACTGCTGTTAACTTCACGGGAAACCAGTGGATATTCGGAGACTTTGCTTGTATCGTGATCGCGTTTATCAGCAGAATTCCTTTCATTGCTAACATTCTTCTTATAGTCGGGTTGAATATTAACAAACTATACAGGGTAAGCTACCCTCTGAGATCTCTGGAACATATGTCAAACAAAGTGAAGGGATTGTGGCTAGTAACCGTTATAACTCTAGCTACCATTAACCCATTCCTTGGTCTCCTCTTCAACAACTTCACTGCTACACTCCACTTCAACAGTTTGGCGTCTGTGTGTCGGCTGACAAACGAAGTGTTCCTGGTTGTGGTAATCAGGTTTATCATCTACATCATCATCCCTGGTACCATCCTCATTATCACTAACACTGCACTTGTTATCATAGCCTTTAAGAAGACCCAAACTTCTGTTAATAAACGGAACATTGTGGTTGTTCTGGGGGTGACTTTTCAGTTCCTTATTGCGTTTATTCCTTACACCCTGGTGCTGTCTGTAGCGTTTTATATTCCTGTTAAGGATTGGGTGGTACGTGGTGCGTTCTCCCTTCTTTACACCACTTGTTGGTTTAATCCTATCGTGTACTACCTTAACAACCCTACATTCAAAGAGTTTACTAATAGTCTTGTGAGAAATGGCTGGAGCAAACTAAGAGGGTTACAGAGAAGTGAAAGTGAGAGGTTAAGATTGTATCGGGTGTTGACCTCCTCTCCGAGTACCAATAGATTTAATGTGAATACGGAGGAATTTGAGTTGGGTTTACGGTGATTTTAGTTTTAATTTATTGTTCAATTTGACCAAAACCCATAATTGGGTAGAGTGTACCGCTGCCAGTGTCTCTCTTTCCCAAATAAAATCAAAAGATATTAATTTGAATGACCGTCTGCAAATGCAAAATGATACCGAGAAAGAAATCGGTCGCTCGCTTTTCCCATTTATACACAGCTTACGAATTGTAATAATTGTCGATAAATTATATCAATCAAATGCTGTAAAAATCTTTTTGGGTTGCTTTCGGGTCGATACCTAGTAATTCGGGATAAGGGCGGTATAGTTAGTGTTAAATTATCTGATGTTTATTGAATCGTTATTGCCAAGTACAGCTGCCTTCGGGTAGTTCTTCTTAATCGATCACAATTGTAAATGAATGGGAAAAGCGAGCGACCAATTTCATTCTCGGTATCATTTTGCATTTGCAGAAGGTCATTCAAATTATTATCATTTACATTTGTTTGATGTCAGGGTACTTTACAAAAAAGAAAGCACCGGATAATTTTGAAAGTTATAAAAACTGCATTCCAAATAATATGTGTGTTTAAGTTAAATGTAAAAAGCGTGTCCGATCTAAGATTATCATACTTAAAGTAGACATCTCCACATGTCCAAAACTTATAAACAATCAATGATCTAAAAATAGGATAAGCTCTACAAAAACCAACAAGAATGTTCCACGATCCCTGTCACTGTCACTACTCCTACTCTTGTCAAGATCCTCCAGGTGAGAGCATATTTGTTCCCTTTTCTTAGGTAGAGGAGAGCACAGATCCAGAGCCATGTGCTCGGAGCAGGTGGTGATATAACTGTTGTCATAAGTTTCGTTGTCACCCCTCACTCCAAAACCCTCATCACATTCCACCGTGATGCTCTCTCCAGGGAGGAATACTGGGACTGACACATCCAGCAGGGCTCTCCCATTTTCAGCTTTTACATCCTTACAAGTAACTTTACTAAGAACTTTCTGTTCATTTAGAGTATAGAGTCGGATCCAGTCTAGGGTTCTGGTGTCATTGATGGAGCTGAAAACATGAGATCCTAGAGTGATGGAGTTATATCGGGGAAGATACTGCATCAGGGACCACATCCCGTCCCTTTCTATAGTCTCCAGTGCGGGACAGAGCAACAGTATTTGCTCCTCTTTTTCCTCCGCACTTTTACAAGTTTGGAGGAATGCTTTAGACGTCAACAACTCAACCCAGGAGAGCAGTGCGATGCACATATCGGTGTTCTTAAGCTGAACTGTCGTTTTCTTGCAACCAAAGTAATTTGGCTGTCCGTCGGTCGTAACAGACCTCAACTCCCAGGTTTGGTCACATGCTGAGCTCCAAACCAGTGGGTATGCCATGGGCCCTTTCATGTTGAGACCCTCATATCCTGTGATGTCCACCTCCACGCACTGTCCTGTATCCGCACTCTGGATAACCAGTCCCGTCTCCTGGCTCATCTTCATGGTCTCCTCTGAGTCCCGAGTAACACTTCTAAAAAGACATCTTTTATCTAGGATTACAGCTAACGACTCTAAGTCAGTATGGTAATCAAGTTCACCCATTCTTTCCTTGTACAATGAACAGTCCGAGAGTTTGTCCAGGGAGATGGTGAGGGTTTGGCAATCCTCCAGAACTTTACAGTAGTCCGAACATTGGTTCCCTGGAGGTAGGGAGAACTTTTGGATGGGTTCCGAATTTACAACAGCGAAGTGGAAGTAACAGCTATAAGTGCTATTTGAACCAGGAAATATTATCAGCGCGATAGTTATCTTCAAGAGGGTGGTTATTATTTTTAGATGAGACATTCTCCTGAGTTTTAAGCAGAGATTTGTAACCAAACTGAAAATAATGAAACGAGGCAGGAGCCTATCCCGGTTGCAAGGTGTTTCAGTTTACCGAGTAGAAACTTGCAGAGAGAAACTGAAAGTGATGAAATGACGAATTTGTATTTAACCACAGCCGGAACGATTTATATTCCTTTGTTTTCTTTGATCTTCAAGTTGTAATGTTTTATTGTTTCCACTAAATGATCCAAAAGGCTTCAATACATTGAAGCATGGGTGCACCAGCGAGATCGTATTTAGCCTCCCCTTGCAGAGCTCAGACTCAGTCAATTGAGAAAACTTGATGAATGGTACTAAAATTGATTTATGTGTATTACACACTTGTGTGCTACACACTTGTGTGTTACACACTTGTGTGTAATACAGCAACTGATAAGGCATGTAATCTGTAGTACAAGTAGTGAATTGTTCGGACTGATTTGTGGCGAGATAGCTTAGTGGTTATAGCATCCGAGCGTTCATCGGGAGGTCGTGGGTTCAATTCCCGCTCTCGGCACATCTCACCCTTACTTTTCACGAAAACGTACTACCTTACTGCCTTATTCCAGTGAGCTGCATGATTAGACTTCTGACCCAACCCAGTTAAATATATGTACCAGAATGTTGCTCTATGAATCTTGGCTGCTTAAATGCTTAAATGCTGGGCCCTGAAATACGGGTGCTAGGCCCTGAAATACGGGTGCGACCGAGTTTCCTCCCCCACTTAACCTAATGGTTATATCTGCAACGATCCTTAGTCGAGAGTCTGTATAAATTGTGTGTTACACACTTGTGTGTAATACAGCAACTGATAAGGCATGTAATCTGTAGTACAAGTAGTGAATTGTTCGGACTGATTTGTGGCGAGATAGCTTAGTGGTTATAGCATCCGAGCGTTCATCGGGAGGTCGTGGGTTCAATTCCCGCTCTCGGCACATCTCACCCTTACTTTTCACGAAAACGTACTACCTTACTGCCTTATTCCAGTGAGCTGCATGATTAGACTTCTGACCCAACCCAGTTAAAAATTGATTTATATTTTTGTCGGCGATCATGTCTCTCCTTTAAAAAACACATAGTGTGAGAGATGATGGTATTAGACCAAATTGAGGTATTGGAAGTCAAAATCACCGACAAAATGGAAAACCAAATTTTCCCATCTCATTTTCCATTTTCAGGTTTTGAAGACTAAATTTCCCCGACCGAAATTTCACAGTTATAAAACGCATCACGATACGCTTTTTAGTAAACAGCCGGGTCATGTCCATCGGAATATTCATCATGACTGGAAATAATAACTACTTTAGCTTATGAACATTAACCATAATTATATGTGCATGAGATAAATTACCATGTTGCTTGATAAGGGAGAATTTATAAATGTTATAAAAGATTTTAAATTGCGTTGTTATAGCGCCGGAATAATGCTATCGCTGGAATATTCACCCAACAAACATTACCAGAGATATCGACCAGGAAGAAATGAAGAAAGGCATCAAATGCTTACAAAATGGAAAGGCAGCGGGTATCGACTTAATTCTTAATGAGTTCCTCAAAACATCGACGGACGAAGTTGTGAAACTCATTCAAAAACTCTTTAATGAATGTCTTAAGTTTGGTGTATACCCTTGGAACACCACTATCGTTACCCCTCTCCACAAAAAAGGTTGTCCACATGACCCGGATAACTATCGAGCAATCGCCGTGGGCAGCAATCTGGGCAAGTTATTTTCAAATATTTTGCTCAGTCGACTTCTCGAATTCAGAGCTGTACATTGCCCCGAATCACAGAACCAGAGAGGATTTTGCAAGGGGGCACAAACCTCTGATCATATTTTCACACTTAACACCTGTATTGAAAAATATGTAAAAGTCCAACGGAAAAGAATCTACAGCTGTTTTGTAGACTTTCAGAAAGCGTTCGACACGGTATCAAGAGAAGCACTATTGTACAAATTAAATAAGCTTGGTATGCAGGGGCGGTTTTTTGATTGCCTCCAATACATGTACAGAAACTCAAAAGCAAGGCTTAAAATGGTTAAAAAGCTCTCGGCTTGTTTTGACGTTAATGCAGGAACGGAACAGGGCCACCCCTTGAGCCCAGAACTCTTCAAATGCTATATCTATGAACTTTCCCTCCAGATTAACACCCTGACCGGAGTGGAAAGTCCCCAACTCAACAACCAACAGATTACTCACCTGCTTTGGGCGGACGATCTGGTCCTGCTAGCCCTTAACAAGGTCAGTCTTCAGCTAATGATTGACCAACTCCACATATTTTGCACTAACTGGGGATTGATTGTTAACATTAAGAAAACTGTGGTCATCATCTTCAATCCCTCAGGAAGGCAGTTACTCGAGAGTAAAACATTTACCTACGGCAGAAGTATTGTAATCCCCTCGGTCAAAAGCTACTGCTACCTAGGTACTCATTTCACAATATGTGGCAGTATGAAGCTTAACCAAGAGCAGCTCAGGATCAAAGGACTTCGAGCATACTTCTCCCTGAAAAAGACGGTTGATCTTTCCTCAATTTCTAAAGAGGCTGTGCTCAAACTCTTCGATGCCCTTATACTTCCTGTCGTATCATACGGTAGTCAGGTGTGGCTCCCCTATACCAACATTCTCAGCAACATCTGCCAGAAGAAAACACAGTCTGACAAAGACACACTCAGTCAACTAGCGAACGACAGCATCGAGCGCCTGCATCTCTCGCTGCTAAAATGGACGACTGGGGTCAACAAGAGAACTTCAAATATCCCGATATGGGGAGACACAGGAAGATATCCCCTTGGAATACAACTGAGTAAGCTCTTTCTTGACTTCCACAACAGGCTCGTCCTCCTTGACAGAAAAAACTCACCACAGATTGTTCGCCATGCTTTTGTAGAGCAAAGAAACCTAGAGCTGACCTGGTTCCGAACATCGAGAGCGCTGACCGACGCATTTGACCCAGGAGCAATTAAACGAACAATTGTCTCGAAGAATGTTCCCATGCCGAACAGCCAACTCGTTCGGAGTAGAATGAGAAATTGGTTCCAAGAAAAGTGGGAAAAAGCTCGACTTGAAAACAAAAAGCTTACATTCTACAACGAAGTCAAAAGCAGCTTTGGATTAGAACCATACCTGTCTCTACCCAATCACAAGAAAACCCGATGTACCACATGGCTGAGGACAAGCTCCCACAAACTTAATATCGAGACGGGGCGATATGGCTGGAAAAACTCAAGCATCTTCTACAGAGCTTGCCACTTCTGCTGCAGTTCAGACAGAATCACCATAGACCTCCTGAATGAGCTCCCGTTTAGTGACATCATTAAAGAAGACGAAGTCCATTTGCTTAAAGAATGTCCTGTCTACAAGGAGATCAGACAAAGAAACAGCACAGACCTTCACAACATACTCACAAATAGTCAATTCAGTAAATTATTTCATGAGAATTACATTTTGGAGACCAGAAATTTTGTTTATAATCTATTTCGTGAAAGATTTCCTAAAAGTAAGCTATGACTTAGTATCCTTATTTCGTGCACACTTTCAAACCTTTTAATTATTTATTTAAGATATTATGTTCTTTTTATTGTTTGGTTGAATAACTTTCATTTAACTGATTGGGATCTGACACATGTAATTTTGTAATGATCTTTCTAATTTCTAATTTCTAATTTCTAATTTCTTACCATTACACGTTAAAATGTCATCAATAATCAATTATTCATCTTACATTCAAAAGTAGACATAAGAACTGTCGAATTTTCAATTTAAAACTAAAAACAGCTGATGTTGTTGGTTTCATTGACGGTGGTTTCATTGACGTTAGCTCCATCCATACTTTGATCAAAAGTGACCAATGTGACAAATGGATGGAAAGTGGAAACATCAGCACGTTGTTGCTTGCTTGCTATATTTTAATTGGACACAATCTATAAATAGATTTAAAGGCACTTCATGTTATTGCTAGTTATATTTTATTTGAACAGATTAGTTTTATCAATTGTGTGTTTCATCAATGGTAAAGAGTATAATCTCAACGTTTCGTGTACAGCAAAGGCATGTTGCCAAAACGTCGACAATACATGGTGTATTTTGTTTTACAGTGAGTCATGGAGACTCTTATTTCGTCCCCAATAATCTATATCTCATTATCAGCAGTACTATAAAATAGGACTGGGAGGGCTCCAAGAATGTTTGCTTGTTGTGGCCGAGACTATCAAGGCTATAATAAGTGTTCGTCCTCATATTATTAAAACATTATTCATATTATGTCATTACGACAGCCAAATTTTCGTCACTCACTTTTATTGTTTATAGACCCCTTCCCCCAATTCAAACATAGCTCTCGTGTTTAAATTAAAGAGCTTTTAAAACCTCAACCACTCTATCAACTGTGGACGATACCTTAAATAGCTTATTCTAAATTCTTATCAGTGCAGTACCCTGTGCAACTGCAACAGATTTCTATTAATTTCTTCTGAAATTGAACAAACTATAAATTATACTAGAACTATAAACTAAATGCTTACTGGACAGCTCACTGCTCAGCCTGTCACTCCGCCGCAGCTTCAATGTTTATAAGCAGAAAAAGCCTGAGGTCCCCGCAGATAACTGAATGCTGATTCTGTCCAACTAGCACTATAAACAGCTGATCATTGTTATTCTTGTAATCTCTCTCAACCGATAGATTTGTTTCGAGTCTCCACGATTTTGTAATGTGAACTTTATCTCTAAACATTGTCACAGTGAATCAGCTACTGTTAAAAAGTATTGTCCACAAAAAGAGTATGTGGTTGATGAAACGATATCTTATCGTACTCGGGAACTGGTTGGTCGAACAGGTCAACTACGTGCTCTGATTAGTCAAGCTCAGCGCCATTGTGTACTTTAAGAATTGTAAACAAGCAAAGAGACATTTTCTCTAAATCAACTATTGTCCAGCTCCAGCAGTTGTTTTTAAAGTACTTCCAATTGTTTTGAATGCAAACCACTTGTCATCTGCAGTGGTCTCATTTGAATTACAAATCTTCTTTTAAAACTGCTGTCGGTGTGGTTTTCTAAACATCGTGTCAGGTTTGAGTCTGTTTGAATGAATCTTTTGTGGTTTCAGGGTCGGTGATTTATTAATGAAGCAAACAAATGTTAATACTTAATAGCAGTGTTATAATGTTTGATCAGTGAAGTTGTCGGCAGGTTTATAAGTTTATAGCAGCTAAGAGACGCTTCACTTTGAAATAAACCGCTTCACTCTGAAGTTCACTTGTGTTTTCAGGGACTGATATCCATACATTTGATCAATTACTGCTTACGACTAGATCGCTCAGTTACGTCATGTCTCATATTATCACACACTGTGCTGATGAAATTCATGGCACTTTCTCAGATAGTACGAGGGAGCTTCTTGTTGCTTATCTTTTCTATCGCAAATTTGATATTTAGTCCATTAATAACGATGTGAATGTTCTTTTGATTGTATCTATGTATATGTGATGTGAGCAAGCGAACACATCCAGTGATATTGGAACCGCGGTTGAGTACTTACAATATTAAAAGTAAGAAAGAAATTGCCATGATTGAACAAAGACTTTTTTCGGACGTACCAATTTTACGATAGCTATAATATTGACCCCTGAGGGCTGCTACTCGCTCGATTCTCTGCTCACGCGTTAGTAGCCTCCTTACGCCGCGCGCACGTGCGGTGTTCACTTCACAATCTACACTCGGCCTTTTTTGTTTAAATCTGTTCCGTTAATTTGTTCGTTCCTCGACACGGCAAGATAATTTGACTGTATTGTTGCATTATAGTAAGCACATTTGAAGTGGCCAATGCACAGTGACACTGACAGTCGTACTTTATCCTAAAAAAGCTGATTGGTTATTCACCGTTAAATATCACTCTTCTTTTAATCCTCAAGTTTTAAATTAATGAGAAAATGAACTTTTTTGTTTTAAATTAATGAACTTGTTTGTTGACCTTGAAGCTTGGTGACAGCCGCTATTTGTTTATTCCTTATGTAGACTTTACAGAATTGTTTAGTTTTTAGAAAGACACAAGCATTCAGTAGTTATAAGCTTTACAAACTTTTTGTTTGTGAATTTTCCTTCGTATTGCGTGGGTAGTAACAGTTTAAACAGTTGAAAGACTGTGTGCCCATTAATAGAAAAAGAATGGTCGAAAGTTATTGATTAGTCAAAACTTGTAAAATGGATTGGGGATAATTATGGAGGTCTTAAACCAATTCAGATTGCGATTTCAATTTTATAACAAGTCGTTTTCTTGTGTTGAGCCGTTACTGGGTAAAGTTGTTAAGAATAGTTTTCAAGGTAGACTGTAGTTGTTACTACAGGCGATAGACTTCGTCGTAATTTGCATTCGATCAAACGTTTTCGACAAGCTGCGACCACACTCTGGGGCGTGATCACGTGACCACACCCTCCGGGTGTGATCACGTGATGATGACTCACATTCTAAAATTCATGATATTGATGTTTACGTTTTCCTACTGGCGATCAATTGAAGATAATTCTATTCACCATTTTCTGATATACTCAAAGTGTTTTAGCATCTTAGTTCACAAGAAATGGTAGCAGAAGAATGCGTGAAAACTTCAAGGCTCCGACCGCAGACAAACCCACTCTGGAGGTAATTTGAATATGTAATTTGAATATGTAATTTGAATATGTAATTTGTCATTTGAATGTGCATGTGATACGATTATCCTATAATTTGCACCTCAGTGACTAAGTTAGTGCTGCTCAATGTGTCTGTAGTTGAAGTATTGCCGTTATTGCTTGTATCTTCTGAGATATCATCAACAGATTGTCGATATTGAAATCCGTCACCTAGCCAGCAATGAGGCAGGGCAGGCGAAACCTCCCTGACAATATATCCCATATAGCTAACACATATCTCTTGAGACTATTCCTGTGATCAGGATGCCGGATAATGTGGCAAAATGCTTCGATTTTATCAAAAATTCCGGAGGCTCCGCCGGGGCTCGCCTGTCATGGCAGACAATACTGAGAAAAGTTAATTAAATTTCGCGGTTTTTGAATCATTTTGTTCTGCAGTGTGAATGACTCAGAAAATCATGTGGCATTTGTGATTCTAAATATCTAATAGCGACTTTGAACAGTCGGCGACAGCATGTTGATGATGACATTCAGTTTATTGATATCCGGTTCTGATGTAATCAATTCAAAGTTTTTAAATCAACTAAGTGCATTTAAATAGCTAGTCGGTCGGAAGATCAATCTATCCCTTCCTCGAATTTTTTCGCGTTGAAAACTAGTCTTGACCATTGTTTCTGCAGATTTGAGGCTACCTTCAAAATATTCTTCCGATGACGTAAGATTTCTCGACGAAGTTTCTCTTTTCGATTAATTACATTGTCTCGACAGAGTCAACGTCAGAATCAAAGTGATTGGGATAATATAGTGGAAGTAGGCTAGTATGAGATCAGTACTGATTGTACCATAATACGATGTAGATAGCTGCGTGAACTGATCGAATTTTATAAACGTTTTTGACAAGATTTTCCAATAAACTTTTTATAGATAGTTTAATAACAACTACTTTTTTCAGACAACTGAGCATAGACGGCCAGAACCACCGAGAAGTTCAAGTCAACTTGATAATCGACCAATTTAAAAATGGCTGCAACTTAAAAAGTAAAGGTAATCATCTATCGTTACAGTTTACGGGGCCAACTTGGGACTATTTATATTAATCGGTGTACGAAATTTTTCCCTATCACTGGGAGTTTTTTAGTAATTACTTATACAAAGACTTAAGACCTGTGCACATTGACATAGCAGAATTTGAGTAAAAAGAACTTGGTTGTTCTCATTTTGCTCTAAAATAAACTTAAAATAAAGCTACTCCTCACAGCAGGTTCGCCGACAAGGAAGCAGCCAGCTGAAACCCCGAAGTCCAAATCAGATCTCATGTGCAGAAAACTTAGAGACAAACTATATATGGTAAGAGTAAATTATGTTGAAATTATGTTATTTGATAGATTTACAACCTCCCATATCCAAAAATTTTTTAATTTCCTACATTCTCAATTTTTTCGTTTTCTGTGGCCCGCTCGCTTCGCTCGCATAAAAAGTCTTTGTATTCGGCGGTTCAAAGATTTTTCATGGCGGATTCCAGATTCTCAATTTTACGTTTTTAGGGCCCGGAATGCTTTTTAATAGATAATCCTAGATTACTTTTGGGGGCAAAAGTAATCTCCGAAAATTTTGGAAATTTAAACTAGATTTGGCCTCCTGGAACGAATCTGACAATGGAGAACGATTTTAGCATACTATTTTCTGATTTCAATTTTTATTGGGATAATTAGTCTGGATTCTAGAATCCCTAAACACTTGACTTAACTAAAGCACGAAATAGGAGACAGCATGAAGTATCAAGAGTTTATAATTTTGGCAAAAATGTTTTCTCATCTACTACCATCACTTTCTGCTTTCAAGCTACAGATTTTATAGCTAATAGCAACAAACTTTGGTCTGTGAAACGAAATTTGATAGACTGGATCAGTGGATCCCTGACTGAGGACATTTAAATAACGGTCCAGCAACTTTTAGTCTGCTCTTTCACTTAAATTCCTACTGAAATATTATCGAAAATTCTCAGAGTTGGCTCTCGAATTTCCTACTTTTTGTTAAAAATTTCCTACTTTTAAAAATTTCCTACATTCTTAGAATGCGAGAATGCGGGTTTTTGGATATGGGTACAACCTATCAATAATTTGTAACTTTATTTTGCAAAATATTGGTGAAGATTTAGATTAAGTGCACATTAATGATAAACGTTTCAGGTTCACCTACAGAATGAAAAAATGAAGCCCGAAAGAAAGTTTTACCTCATTGCCCAGTAAGTTTAAAATCCCATTTTCCAAATCTAAAATTACCACCAGCATTTTCTTGTGTACTGCAGAAGGTCGCAAAAAAACCCAACACCTGGAACTTAACCTCTTTATAATTTATATATCTGAATTTCCCTGTACTGCTAACAATATCATGTTCTGATTTGCTACTTATATAGCTGACACAAGTATTATTCGATAAACTGCTATATAAAATGTGACTTTATTTATTTCTTCAGAGAGGTAGGAAGGAAGCGACAACGTCCCATATCCTGCACCACGACCACCAGCACTCTCAACAGACTAAACTCCGCCTCCTCCTCCTCCACCAGCAGTCAGCGACACTACCCTTCTAATGGTTAGTCCTGTTTAGTCTAGTGGTTACTAGTGGTTACTAGTGGTTACTAGTGGTTACTAGTGGTTACTAGTGGTTACTAGTGGTTACTAGTGGTTACTAGTGGTTACTAGTGGTTACTAGTGGTTACTAGTGGTTACTAGTGGTTACTATTGGTTACTAGTGGTTACTAGTGGTTACTAGTGGTTACTAGTGGTTACTAGTGGTTACTATTGGTTACTAGTGGTTACTAGTGGTTACTTGTGGTTACTAGTGGTTACCAGCAGTCAGCGACACTACCCTTCTAACGGTTAGTCCTGTTTAGTCTAGTGGTTACTAGTGGTTACTTATACTAGTGGTTACTAGTGGTTACTAGTGGTTACTAGTGGTTACTAGTGGTCAGCGACACTACCCTTCTAATGGTTAGTCCTGTTGAGTCTAGTGGTTACTAGTGGTTACTAGTGGTAACTAGTGGTTACTAGTGGTTACCAGCAGTCAGCGACACTACCCTTCTAATGGTTAGTCCTGTTGAGTCTAGTGGTTACTAGTGGTTACTAGTGGTTACTAGTGGTTACTAGTGGTTACTAGTGGTTACTAGTGGTTACTAGTGGTTACCAGCAGTCAGCGACACTACCCTTCTAACGGTTAGTTCTGTTGAGTCTAGTGGTTACTAGTGGTTACTAGTGGTTACTAGTGGTTACTAGTGGTTACTATTGGTTACTAGTGGTTACTAGTGGTTACTTGTGGTTACTAGTGGTTACCAGCAGTCAGCGACACTACCCTTCTAACGGTTAGTCCTGTTTAGTCTAGTGGTTACTAGTGGTTACTTATACTAGTGGTTACTAGTGGTTACTAGTGGTTACTAGTGGTTACTAGTGGTCAGCGACACTACCCTTCTAATGGTTAGTCCTGTTGAGTCTAGTGGTTACTAGTGGTTACTAGTGGTAACTAGTGGTTACTAGTGGTTACCAGCAGTCAGCGACACTACCCTTCTAATGGTTAGTCCTGTTGAGTCTAGTGGTTACTAGTGGTTACTAGTGGTTACTAGTGGTTACTAGTGGTTACTAGTGGTTACTAGTGGTTACTAGTGGTTACTAGTGGTCAGCGACACTACCCTTCTAATGGTTAGTCCTGTTGAGTCTAGTGGTTACTAGTGGTTACTAGTGGTAACTAGTGGTTACTAGTGGTTACTGGTTACTAGTGGTTACTTATACTAGTGGTTACTAGTGGTTACTAGTGGTTACTAGTGGTTACTAGTGGTCAGCGACACTACCCTTCTAATGGTTAGTCCTGTTGAGTCTAGTGGTTACTAGTGGTTACTAGTGGTTACTAGTGGTTACTAGTGGTTACTAGTGGTTACTAGTGGTTACTAGTGGTTACCAGCAGTCAGCGACACTACCCTTCTAACGGTTAGTTCTGTTTAGTCCTGTTTAATCTTAATACTTTACCCTAAATACACCAGCGTGTCATATTATAGCCTATGCTATAGGTCATATGATGTTGCCTGTTGGGGAAGTAATTTATCTTTCGTGATTTATATTTGATGCAAGATTAACGTTGATCTTGGACGCGAAGAGGATTAAGTCTCTTCGGACAACAATGTTGTCATAACATTATTAGTACTTTCTTTCTATGATAATCTTATGATATATTACAATAGCGTAGTTATAAGTAGTTGTGAAATTAGCTTGATATTGATGATAAATCTAATAATTTCCCTAAACATCGTACAAAACACGGTAACTACCAGGAAATTAACGAATTCTCCTTAGCTAAGTCAATAAGTCCCGCCTGGTTTTCTGCGTGCTGTAAATAAATTGAATTTCTCGTGAGTTTGCTTCCACACGTGACTCTCACAAGTTGAACCGTTTCAAAATGCCATATTGTTGGAGATAAAAGCTTTTCATATAAAGTTCTAACCGATAAGTTGAAACAATTGTCCTACCCGCAGACTCGTAGTCGTACGTCACAGCGCTTAAACAGGACCAAACTTCGACCAAACAGCTTATTCAATATTTGACCAAGATGTGATCAAATTGCATGTTGTTTTCGTTTCACTTGACCGTACTTAGGGCCTCAATCTTAAATTTAAATTTAAAGATTTAAGAATGAACGTATTTGAGCCATAATCTAATTTTAGGACGCCTTGGTAAAGCCGAAAAGGTCACAGTTGACATAGTTAGTAGTTACTGTTGGGATATTGTTTATAATTTTGTATAATTTTGTAATATTCTTTATTCTCTTATCGGCTCCTAGCTACATAAACAGTAATCTCTTATTCACCTTTTCTGGTAATCAAAACTCGTTAAAGGACGATTAAGATATATCGTTGCATATTGAGTATGATACACCGTTTCCATGGTATTGTTAGAAGATCCAGAACTTTGAACTTTCTAGTACTATTGTTTCTTCCTTTAGTCAGTCAGGGCTCACTATTCGCAGCCTATCACTTTGTTTTGAAGATATACCTTTTCCTCGTCCCAGAAAATGGATAACTTTACTCCCTCTATCATAAACAAAGCGACTCGGGCTGGTGGGTATTCTTTAACTTACTGCTTCCTCTTGATTCGAAAATTCAGATATCAATATGTAAAATTTTAGTGAACTTGCTCGGTATTTTTTATGTAAAGTTTATGCGAATTATAAATTGGAAAAATAATTTACATACAATTTTTGGAATCTAAAAAAGTTGGTTGTTAAGGTCAGTGTTAAGGTAATTGAATTGTTATGGGACATTTACGTTTCGAAATAAATGGAAATATTCAAAACAGAATATATTGAAATAGTCCTCGATTCTGTTTTAAAATGTCAGACTCAACGAAGCCACAATTTAAATACTTTCTTGTGTTTGAAATTCGCTACAATTTATCAGAGCCTTCCCCAGGGATGACCTGGAGACAGTTGTCACTGAACAGGAAGAAGATGATGAAAAGGATCCCTTCGAACTCCTGCAGTCCAATTAACTCAGATGAATACGTCCGGTGAGTTTAGAAGGATTTAGTGGCAAGCACTTAGCTTCTATTGTTGTTAAGGTGTTACCTTGCAATGAATAGGTTGGCTGTTTATATACAACCGCATCTATTTGAGGGTTCATTGAATTTTGTGGTTTTTTAAAAATCCGTCTGTTTAAGATTATACTATAGTGCTCTAGCAGTTGATGCGGGTCTAGATGTTTGGATATATATTTGTGGTACTAAAGCCTCGTTCATACTCCAGTCCAGCAAAGTGGTCTAGTGGTCTATAGCAGGTCTAGTGGTCCAGCAGAAATATATTTTTAGCAGGTCAAATTTGTATTTGTATATTTTAAATAGATCTACAAAAATCTATTTTTGATTTGGACAGGGATTAAGCCGGGATTCCGGTCGAGCATGATTGTATATTTGTAGTACTAAAGCATGTTTGTATCCTTTAGTTTAACTAGCAGGAACCCGTATAATATAACCCAAACGGTGTCAAGACTCAAGAGACTAAAATAATTATTACCTATTTAATTGGCGTTTTTTGACACCACTTGGGGGTCCACATTTTGGGCTCTAAAATCATTATTCCTTGGCCAATTTTTTATTATTTCATGCTGATTTGGAGGCCATTAAAGCATTTGACCCAGTCAAAAAAGTTTCAGTTGTATCTCTTTTACGGTTTTTGCGGAAAGTCGCGTTAAAGTTGATGCCGTGGTGTCAGTAAAATGGCACGGATATATATATATATATATTATATATCGTCTCTCGTAAGATGCCGATGTAAGGCAGATCTTGACACATATCAAAATTTACTTAGGATACTTAGGAGAGATTCACAGATTCCTCTACTGGGTCATCGAATAATTCAACCGCCTTGCAGTATCGCTGCTGCCTTGTTCATACTCCAGGAAGCAGTAGTTGCTGAAATATGGCTTATTTGGAAACGATTTAAGAAATGCTGAAGCAGGGGGAAGCAGTAAGAAATGCTGAAAATAAATTCTAGATCCTTTACTCGGTCTGTAGGATAAAGCATATTATTACCATTATATTAGACACACTGTATTTTTGTGCTTGATATACAAAAGGCAGCTCATACAGACAGTGGCGTAATGAAGGGACCCGCTGACCCTGCCGGGGGGGGGGGGGGGGGGGGGGGGGGGGCAATCGTCGTTTGAATGTGGGACAATTACGCCACTGCATACATTACGTCACTGCATACAGACTCTCATTAGGATTCCCTCAATGAACTAGGAGCTCAAACTTATCCTCGTGTAAAGCTATGTTATTTCGTTTGGCCCATGCAATAACATGATCAAGATCTTGCTGAATGTGCTTATCATCTGCAAAGAATCTTATAATTGATTTAATAAAATCTCATCACATTCCATAGAACTAAGAAGCCGTTACATGATGTCGAGTAATCAGTACAATACAACAATATCTTTCTCAAGTAGTAATAGTAAGCATCAACATAACTAGCCACCAGCTCAGTTAATTAAGTGATAGAAACTTAGTTTCTACCCCTCACGATAAACATGTTCTCTCAGTCATTCCACCACGTGACCCACCTCCCAGACACGTGGGCGTATCTCCCTGCACGTGGGCTAACACGTGGGCTAATATCAAACTTGTCATTGGACAGGGAGTGTGGATAAACCGATATGCACAGTTCTGTACTGCAGCAACGTTTTATATTTTAGGCTCCTCAACAAGGTGTAGTTGTACTTACTTACAACATAATATTATAGTGTTATCACACAGCATATTGTGCTATCTACTACTCAGCTGTCTGTGCCATTGTCTGAGCAAGTTTTTGCTTGATGTCTGATAGTTATGTACGGCTCGGTCCACAAAGGCGTTTTATCGCTGCTGATTGTATAAGCACAGATAAATAGGATCGTTCTGTAAACAGCAAAACGGCTTACAACGGTTCGTTTGACTTGAGTTTGTTCTCAGTTCCGTTTGTTTGTTAACTTAGTCTTTTGAATGAATTATTAAATCCACCAGTAATTTTCTTATTGTTTGAAATTGTAGTTGTTTTGGTCACGTGACTACACGTGACTTGAGTAGTGGACCTTGTGTGGGGATGTGTGCGGAGATGTGGAACATGGCAACAAGAAGGAAGAGCAAGACTCAGATAATGAGACCTCTAACTAGAGTTTCTAGTCCTCCTCTACAGGTACTTTAAATAGAGTTTCTAGTCCTCCTCTACAGGTACTTAAAATAGAGTTTCTAGTCCTCCTCTACAGGTACTTTAAATAGAGTTTCTAGTCCTCCTCTACAGGTACTTTAAATAGAGTTTCTAGTCCTCCTCTACAGGTACTTAAAATAGAGTTTCTAGTCCTCCTCTACAGGTACTTTAAATAGAGTTTCTAGTCCTCCTCTACAGGTACTTAAAATAGAGTTTCTAGTCCTCCTCTACAGGTACTTTAAATAGAGTTTCTAGTCCTCCTCTACAGGTACTTTAAATAGAGTTTCTAGTCCTCCTCTACAGGTACTTAAAATAGAGTTTCTAGTCCTCCTCTGCAGGTACTTAAAATAGAGTTTCTAGTCCTCCTCTACAGGAACTTTAAATAGAGTTTCTAGTCCTCCTCTACAGGTACTTTAAATAGAGTTTCTAGTCCTCCTCTACAGGTACTTTAAATAGAGTTTCTAGTCCTCCTCTACAGGTACTTTAAATAGAGTTTCTAGTCCTCCTCTACAGGTACTTTAAATAGAGTTTCTAGTCCTCCTCTACAGGTACTTTAAATAGAGTTTCTAGTCCTCCTCTACAGGTACTTTAAATAGAGTTTCTAGTCCTCCTCTACAGGTACTTTAAATAGAGTTTCTAGTCCTCCTCTACAGGTACTTTAAATAGAGTTTCTAGTCCTCCTCTACAGGTACTTAAAATAGAGTTTCTAGTCCTCCTCTACAGGTACTTAAAATATTTTAGATACTTTAAATATCATATCTTTCACTCTGCTTTACTTTAAATACCTTATATTTAACTCTAGTTTACTTCAAAGAAGTGTGTATGAACTGTTTTGTGCAATGTTAACTGTTAAGAGATATTTAAAAGTTTAAAGTTACAGTGCAGATTACATGCACCTAACCGTCCATGACCTAACCGTCCATGAGTTATCGTGACAGTTTACCGTATATAAAAGATTTTAGTACTTGGATAGTGGATACTTAATGAACCTGGAACTTCACCGAAATTCCCCCTCCCTGACTCTCAGGATATACTGTTCGTTTCCGCAACTACCCCAATAATGCCTGATCCCGGTGGCTGCAAGAGGTTGAGTAATATCGTGGAGACCGCTTCTCTTCTCGTCGTCAAACAGAACTGGTGAGTTGCAAAAGTATTTAGTATCTTGCAATTTTGGCCTGTGCAAGAGTTGTTATTAGCTGAGATGACTTCTGCTGCAGTATTGCTCCGTCTAAATTGAATGAAGAAAGGAAGCAGGAATCGATATGCAACATATTTCTACCATTAGACTCTCAATGAAGTTTTTGATTTCGATATAATATTTTCCTGGCACAAATTTTACATCGGTATTAATCTCTTGTGTACAATTTAAAGCTACTAAAATCCTCCGAATTTTAGGAATAAGATCGCCCGTCTAAGTCCAGATGACGAGCTCTGGAAGTAAGATAGCTCTTCGTTCAATATTTAAACGAGCCAGTTTTTTATTGTTCTTATCCCACAACCCGGGAGTGAAAATATTATATTAAACATCTGCAGATCATCAAACTAGATACCCAAGAGTATGATTAGTAACATAACGGCACTGCTACTAATACAACTGTAGTTGTATAATACTACATATAATAATGATAATTAATTCCTGACAGTGCTTGTGCTCCGATTATTTCGTCGTAAAGTCGTAACTAACAGGCGTTATCTATGATATTTATAATATCTTCCGGGTATTATACCTAGTTTTCGTCAGTTGATTATCAAACTTTTTGAGAACCCAGCCCGGACTAATTCTTTCACTTTAAACTGCCAATTCTGAGCACCTGTCTGCAAGTGTGGCCGGTGCTGCAACTTTGGTTCTAGTATAATTGAGGGTACCAGAAATTAAGGAGTTGATACTTTAAGTTCTGGCTGCTGGGAACGAAAGAGGTTCGCAACTACCATACACTGTATGGTAGTATGATACAGTTAATACTGTATATATAGTAGTATGATAACTGCAGTTAATAATAATTTGGTATTACCTCCTACAATATTCTGGGTTAATTGGCCGTTCAGAAAGCACGTGTACTACAATAGAACTGCACATTTTACACATTTTACACATTTTACACATTTTACACATTTTACACATTTTACACATTTTACACATTTTACACATTTTACACATTTTACACATTTTACACATTTTACACTATTTATTATTTTAATATTTCTATTGTGAAGTATGATGCTACTGCACATTTTACAATATTTATTATTTTAATATTTCTATTGTGAAGTATGATGCTACTGCCCTTTTTACACTATTTATTATTTTAATATTTCTATTGTGAAGTATGATGCTACTGCACATTTTACACTATTTATTATTTCAATATTTCTATTGTGAAGTATGATGCTACTGCACATTTTACACTATTTATTATTTTAATATTTCTATTGTGAAGTATGATGCTACTGCACATTTTACACTATTTATTATTTTAATATTTCTATTGTGAAGTATGATGCTACTGCACATTTTACACTATTTATTATTTTAATATTTCTATTGTGAAGTAGGATGCTACTGCACATTTTACACTATTTAATATTTTAATATTTCTATTGTGAAGTATGATGCTACTGCACATTTTACACTATTTATTATTTTAATATTTCTATTGTTGAGTATGATGCTACTGCACATTTTACACTATTTATTATTTTAATATTTCTATTGTTGAGTAGGATGCTACTGCACATTTTACACTATTTATTATTTTAATATTTCTATTGTGAAGTATGATGCTACTGCACATTTTACACTATTTATTATTTTAATATTTCTATTGTGAAG